AACACCAGTGGCACAGCCTCAAGACTCATAGCAACACATCACCCAGTAGGACAAACCGACAGACAAGTTTTTCTCCCTTAGCTGTTGGAAACCTCTCCAACCACCCTTACCTGGATCCCTGCAGCTGTGAGGAATCCTTATGCTGATGTAAATTTCCTGTATCTTGATTGTATCAATGTCAAAATCCTGATCATGATAGTGTACTATAGTTTTTCAAGATTTTACCATTGAAGGAAACTGCATAAAATATATATGAGGTCTCTCTGGATTATTTCTTACAAGTGTATGTGAACCTACAATTATCTCAAAATAAAAAATGTAATTTAAAAAGTTAAAAAAACAAGAGGGAGAAGAATTTACTCATCTCTGTCCTGTGATATGTTTATGTGTAGGAGCTCTGGTAGCATAGTGCCTAAAGCACTTGACTGCTAACCAGAAGGCTGGTGGTTCAAACCCACCAGCCACTCCTTGGAAGCAAGGTTGGGCAGTCTACTTCCATAGTAATACTGCCTTGGAAACCCAAGGAGGGGTCCCTATGAGTTGGGTCCGACTCGACATCACATAACAATAACAAGATAGCTATAAACAGAAGTCTAGAAGGATGGTCACATTCACATAAAAAAAATAATCTTGGGTTGTGACTGAAACCATTAGCTCTTACCTGTAGCAAAGCTCCCATTAGTGATGCCAGAGCAGCCATTCCAATACACAGGAGGCCATACAGCACACCTAGACAGACAAGGAAAATGCCAGTGTAAGATCCAGGCCCAGAGAATTCGAATTTTTGATGGATTAAAATATCATGTCTTTGATACAAAGTAAATCACATGACTCTGGTTCCACGCATCAAAACCCTGAAACAGGGCGTGTTTTCCTACAGGATCAGCAGTGGGCAAATGAAACCCTTATATGCCCCGGGATGTTACAACATTAGGTTATATAAGTAAAGAATCTCTAGAATTAACTGTAGGAATTCAAAAAGTAGGAACTATTGTGTTTTTAATCTAATCCTCTATAAACATTTGTCTGTAAAAGAAGGCTTAGGTTTCTGTTTACAGTCTACAGAAACTGAGGCTCTATTCAGCTCTGTACAAGAGGGAGTGGGAAGTGATAAACATCAGAAATTAGACTTTTGTCACCTTAAGTGTTCATTTTTTTTTCTGGGAAGTGACAATGGCCATATCAAGGGATGGTTTGGTATTTTGTTGTTGTTGTTGTTGTGTGCCATCAAGTCGGACCTGACTCATAGCGACCCCTTCTTGGGTTTCCAAGGCAGTATCACTACAGAAATAGGATTGCCCAACCTTCCTTCCGAGGAGTGGCTGGTGGGTTTGAACC